GGTCGCTGCTGTATACAAGCTTATCACAGTTTTCATAATTGTAGTATTATTTGGTGACTGCTCGTGAATATTTATTTCAAATAAACTGTTTTGAAGTTCTAGGATTATTTTTAAAAAGTTTTCCTTTTTATTTGAAAACTATCAGAAGAGTATTAGGTTAACTTAAGTGTTATTCTTGGTTATACCATTGTTGGATTCATATTGAATCAGCTTTTGAAGTTTACTACTCGCAAACCACTTGCTTGCGCAGGCCTGTAGTACGACAGTGTTCATGCTGTCAACGCTTCACCGCTCTACATGCATGCATTGCGATGAAGTGGGAAAAAAAAAAAACGCTGGCTTGAGGCGGGTTCTTTACATGCACAACATACAGTAGATTCCGAAGTGTATTTGGCCTAGAGGGAATACGCTGTCACCCGCGTCCTTCTCTTCTAATAATAGTGCGGCCTCTCGCTCCTCATGTGAATGGAATTGCTTGACGTGTTGATAGAGTGACACTACGAAGACATTCGTTTGCAGGTCTATCGAGAAGCTGCTACAGATATTCGTGTTTCTAATTTGGCATCGCTATCATAATCAGTAGCGGTGGCATTCACTACGAGCAGCCTAAGATATGCCAGAGTGAGTGCAAGCTGAGCGATCGAGTGACGTGCGCGACGTAGGCACTCAAGTGCCCCGAAACCGGCTCTTTGAGCTGCAACAAATGCTTATCGAGTTACGATTATTGTTATATAGTCCGCACATGAACTCTTCAAACCCCAAAGCAACAGCCCTACCAAGGCACGTTCGTTCTCGGCTTGCAGTTCACCAAGGTAGAGTAACCATCATAATGTTAATACTGTACGCAAGCAGGATGCCGCAACCACTTCATCTTACGAAGTTTTTGACATGTGGCTGGTCGACTACGCCACGTCGCCTCCGCCTTTCACCGTCACTGTTGACGTTTGCAGCAAGCCGCTCCGCATGGAAGTGGACACGAGGGTAAGTGTCTGTCATGGCCAAGTCGCATATTCTTCAGCTTTTGCTTTCTGTTCCTGTGCAGCCGTCACAAGTGCTTCTGCGAAGCTATTCCGGGGAACTAAAAAAGGTTCAGGGCAAAGCTGACGTCAGCGTGAAGTTTCATGGCATACCTATTTTTCTGACTGGAGACGGATCGCCCACTCTATTTGGACACAACTGGATGCGTCAGCTGGGCATCGGCATCTCCGACGTTTAAGTGAACATCCACGCACTTTCCAACGTCAACCAGCTAGTCCAAGACTACGCCGAAGTGTTTGAAGAAGGCCTGAGTACAATCAAAGGTGCTAAAGCTTCTCTACATATTCCTTCAGATGCTCCGCCTCGGTTCTTCAAGCCACATCCACTACCGTATACCTTGACAGATGGAGTAACTCAAGAAATCCATAGACTAAGGAGAGATCCCATTCTTGTTCCAGTCAAGACAGCACAGTGGGCTGCACCTATTGTTCCTGTGACCAAAAGTGATTGACGCATCAGAATCTGAGCAGGCTTTGGTGTCACCATAAACCAAGTGGCAATAGTGGAGCAGTGCCCCATTCCAAGGATCGAGGACCTGTGGACTGTGCTTGCTGGAGGTGAGAAATTCAAAAAATTGGATTTGCGAGATGCATACCAGCTGGTTGTCCTTGACGAGGCCTCTAGGGAGTACATCACCATTTCGACGCATATGGGGTTATTTCAGTACACCTTGTTGCCTTTCGGAATCTCATCAGCTCCTGCCATATTTCAGCACGAGATGGAGAACTTGTTCAGGGGACTGCCCCATGTGGCAGTCTATTTCGACGACATTCTTGAGACTGGCGCAAATGATGCTGAGCACCTTCGCAACCTTTGTGCTGTGCTTAGCAAGCTTCAGGAATCCTGCCTCAAGCTGAAACTTGAAAAATGCCACTTCTTCGTGCCACAAGTTGACTATCTCGGGCACATCACCAGCAAGGAATGCCTTTCCCCAAATGCTGACAAGGTAGCAGCCATTCTGCATGCTCCTGTGCCTCAGGATGTCAGGGAACTTCAGAGTTTCTTGGGACTTGTCAACTTCTACGAGCCCTTCTTACCCAATTTTTCGTCACTCCTTCGTCCTCTGCACTTGCTTCTTTGTGAAGGGAAGTGGGAGTTGGGACAAGAACAACAAGATGCATTCACTGCTTGCAAGCAATTACTAACATCAGCTCCAGTTCTTGTGCATTTAAACCCTGCCAGGCCAGTTTGTCTCAGCTGTGACGCATCGCCTCTTGGTATAGGTGCAGTTCTGGTGCACAAAGATGCTGATGGCCGAGAACATCCCATTGCTTTTTCCTCGAGGAGCTTGTCAAAATCAGAACAAAACGACAGTCAACTCAACAAGGAGGCACTGGCTTTAAGTGTTTGGTGTGGATCGGTTCCACTAGTAGTTGTGGGGCATCTCATTCGAACCACACACTGACCACAACCCACTTCTTGGACTGCTGGGTGCCAACACCCGTTCTGGGTTCCCGTCCAAGCTTCGCGTCGAGTGATCAGGTGGGTTCTGAAGCTTTCTGCTTACAAGTACGAACTTGTATACAAGCTTGGCAAAGACTTCAGCCATGCTGATGCTCTTAGTAGACTGCCTCTCCCAACTGACACTACTGCATTACCACCATCTGCTGAAATCTTGCTAGAGGAGGCATATCCGAGACTACTTTGACCAGGTGATGTGTTCCAACCCACGCAAAATGATCCAGTTCTGGGCCATGTTGTTCTTGCTGTTCTGAAAGAAGAAAGCCTCCCAGTAAGACCAGAGTTGAACACTTTCAATACCAGAAGCTCAGACCTCAGTCTCCATGAGGGTTGTCTACTCAGGGGATCAAGAGGAATGATCCCAAAGGTATTGCAGGCCCAAGTTTTTGGTTTTCTTCATGCCAGCTACCCAGGTATCAAGAAGAGCAAGAGGATTACCAGGAGCCATGTTTGGTGGCCAGGCACTGACAATGACATTGCCAACAGCGTCAAGAGCTGTGCCAGACTCAACATCAAGCTGTACAGCCGGTTCAGCAGACGTCGTGGCCTTTTCCACAACGACCCTGGTCAAGGCTTCACATTGATTTTGGGGGACCATTTTTACGAGGTCACACATTTTTGGTTATTGTGGATGCATTCTCAACATAGATAGAAGTCTTTCCTGTGTCTTCCACATCTGCAGAAGCTACCATTTCTGCCTTGAAAATCGCTTTTACTCAGCATGGCCTGCCTGATGTCATAGTTTCCAACAACGGTCCTGCCTTCACCAGTGCCCAGCACCTTGAGTTCTTAACTCGAAATGGAATACACCACATGCTTGTACCGACATGAAAAGTGTGTAAAATAAAAAAAACACAAAAGGTCTCGAACAAAAAGGCAAGAGAAATAAGAGCTTACGTTGAACACCACATAGCATCTTCTACAAGTAAACACAACAGGAGGCAACCATTACCCAGATGCTTAAAAAGTAAGCACATTTTAAGAGTACCCAATTAAAAGTCTGCATGACCAAATAAATGATCAAATATTCACAAGCTCATTAACTTTGTTCACAGATGTGACTAAAGACAAAAATATTTGGTGAGCCTAATGTGCATTGAGCCATAGTGCTTCATAAAGAAAGCAACAGAATACCAATCAGTAAGGGTGTAAGGCAGGGGGACACCATCTGCCCAATGCTATTTACCGCATACTTACAGGAGGTTTTCAGAAGCCTAGAATAGGAACAGTTAGGAATAAGAGTTAATGGAGAGTACCTTAGTAACCTCCACTTCGCTGATGACATTGCATTGCTGAGTAACTCAAAGGACGAATTGCAACTCATGATTACGGAGTAAGACAGCCTCCACAAAGACCTCAGTGCATGAAGGTGATTGACATGGTGTTATTAAAGGTGTCATTAAATCTAAGAGCATAATGACTTACATCTACAAGCAAACACTAACAGTACTTGAAAAATGCCAGCACTAACTCACAATATTCCTAGGAAGAATGAAGGTGACAGATTGAAAGACATATGATTGCCCCTCCTTATTCTGTCTAAGGTAAAGAAAGCTACATTGGGCAAGGGGAGTTGTGGAGAAATCGACAAAGAGCGCACACACGAAGCGACCACAAATCTTTGCTGGCACAGCCTTGGAAACATTCGCTCATCACTTGAAATGTAAGTTGAGTGTTATTGCAGAACCGCTCAAGAGACAGGACAGTGAACACTCGGTGGCACAGTGCTGACCAAGAAATAAGTGTCCACAGTAAGTGCGATGATGGTACCGTCTTCACTGTCACTTCATATTGTGCAAAGAAGTGGTCACAAGATGACACATCATTCCCCTGAAAACCTCACCCAACATGTTGTGCCTTGCATCAACACCTGCATAGCAGAATTCCACTCCCTGCAAAGCCAGCACTCTCTTCTACATTTATTTCCCAGATTCTCAAGCGAGTGATGATAGTGCTCTTTCTTGCACTTGTTTTTCAACATTCGTCAGCACTAAAGGTGTGGGATGTGACTGGATTGATTTGCACACGGACTTGATATGAACCACGATATTGATGTCAAGAGATTGCTTGCACTGTTCACATAGTAGTTACTGCAATAACACTTCTTTTCCCTGTTCACATTGTACTTGGGGGCGTGTAGGTTGAGAAATACGGCATAAAGAAGCACACAACGGATGGAACAAGAAACACAAAAAACAAAAAGACAACACAATAATTCTGTTGTCCTTCAGTTTTTGTGTTTATTGTTTCACCCACTGAATGCTTCCATATGCTGTAGCAATTCTCCCTGATTGTTTAAAATGCCGCGAAGCATCACGGTCACATATGTGGATGTTCAAATGATAACAATAATTATTACATAATGTACAAGCACACAGATGATGACCTGTTAAGCAATTTGTTTCGTGTCTGTTTATGCTTGTTCAAGATTTCTTTCTTTATTTATTAATTTATTGAGAACAATTACAAAATTGTGCAAGGAGGCACGGCAAAAGGCAGACATTGCCTGACTGGCCCGTGCCACCCATACAGCAGTAGCACCAGAAAGAAATTAAAAAATATAGAAGGGTACATGGAAATCAAATATTGCACCTCTGATCAATATTACACAGTCATATAGCAAAAAAGAGAAGAAAACATAAGTACAATTTAAAAAAATGTACGCACTACTCTCGAGCAGAAAAAGAAAATCGCATTATACTCATCTGCACACACATACAAAAAAATTTTGGAACAACTTGTAGGACTCCCAGTCCACATGTGGGGAGAGAAAAAGAAAAATCGGCAATATATTACATTCATACAGAACCATAGTATTTTTTTATTTGCATCAGTCGTCTGAAAATAATAATTCTTTAATTGTTTTTTTTGTTTTTTGATATGCTTGCTTTCTCATTCTGGATTTGAGATCTATAGTAAAGGTATAGTCATTAAGGAGGTTAGGAATTCGAGCCACAAAAAAATCTTGAATTGACAAAGCAGAAGTGCTGTAGCTTATCAGTACAAAAAAATGTTTTCCTAGAGCTTAGTACAAACTGGTGAACTTAGTACTGAACTGGTGAATGAACAACTCAGCAATAGAGCACAATAAAAATATTTATGTGACATCTTACTTCATGAATACCTATGCTTTGCTCTGAATAATGAAGCCTAGGTATCTTAACTAAAACTCACAGCTTTAAAAGGCCTACATAAATCTGCACTGCCACAATTCTTTGAAATAATCCATGAAGTGTGGCTTCATGAGAAGCTTCAATCAAACTTTCACCAATATGATCACTCCCATTCAGGCCGATCGAGGTGTCTTCTTAGGTGGACACTCTGCACGAACGTCTCAGCGCACGAAGGTTACAGATACGAATGCTTGATTGCATGCATTTTGCGGTGGCTGTACAGTGAGGACAGTTGTACAAAGGTCTTGAGGCATACGTGGCATTGATACGGACGCTCACCCGTATGAATGCGCACGTGTTGAGATAAAGTTTTCTTTATACTGAAGCTCTTGAGGCATATGGGGCATTGATATGGCCGTTCACCCGTGTGAGTGCGTAGGTGGACTTTCAGATTACCCTTTAGTGTAAAGCTCTGGGGGCATAGGTGGCATCCATGTGGTCGCTCTCCTGTGTGACGCATGGCATGTGTTTTGAAATGGCCCAAATGCAGTGTCTTATAGTCGCACTGTTCACAACACAACAAACTTCTTTGGCGAAGCCGCTCAACATCTGCAGTTGGTGGACTGTTGGAAGAGCAGAAATCTGCACAAAGAAAACAAAAGCGTTTGTGAAGTGCTGCATATTTTTGAAACAAAAAATGTTTTTGTGGCATTTCACTCGAGAACTACACTCTATATCTATAAGTATTGCTGAGTGTGGGAATCAATTTTTTTCGTGACCACCTTCAGTTCATTGATGTGAGCTTAGTTCCAACAAACAAGTGTTTCCGCACTGAATTTTACAGAAATGCGGCCTTTCTAACCTTGATTATTAAATGCCAAAGCCGAATGAAAAGAGAATAATGCTAATTGACAGCAATTATCTGACAAAATCTTGAAAGGAAATTCGAAAAGGGTACTGCAAAGCATATTATTCTAAATATATTCATATTCATTCTTTTACAAAAAAACACTATTGAACATAATCCCTGTTCGGCCACAGCTTCTTCAAATTTTTGATATCTTTCTCTGCATATAAGCATGCCCCTAAAATCATAATTAACGAAATTTCATGCTAATCTACACATCACACAGCAAAACAATAGAATCATCACTTGCACTTTATTTATAGCTAATGCTGAAAAAGGACAAAGATGTCTGTAATAAAGGGCATCAAATACATCCAAATGAAGAAAACGAAGAAGGATAAATTCTAGTACTATCTAGCAGAATCTAATAATATTTCACAGCAAGACTTGTAATTCATAAAACTGAACTCTTCTTTTCAAAAATATGTAGATAACAATGATGCATCGCGTGAATATACGGAAACATTATGTGAACAAATACGTGAGCATTACAGAAAACATTGAATAATTAAGAAAGCAAGCCGCAGAAAGAATTGGTTGCAAAAATGCAAAGTGCTTAGAAAATAGGGCACTCAACAAAAACATCTAAGGTATTTAAACAATGCAGACAACATGAGTTCATATAAGAACGTTTTTCCATCCAAGATCAACCTCCCAATTTTCTGACGCCTAGAGAGGAAGAGACAGGATGAAAAAATTACGAACAGTAAAAGTAAGCACTAGCAAACTCGCAAAGCACACAAAAAATTGCTGCTGAATAAAATACCACAATTCATTGCACAATTTTTGAGCTAGCAATGTCATCCCCGTCAAACTTTGCTACAACAGTGATCATTTCTTTTCAGAGCCTTTAGTACAGAAGCCTCAGTTGGGCGATCCATATCTAGAGCGCACTGCGGGCTTCAATGTTAAGCTGCTGCGGTAGCATCTACATTTTTCTGAGTCTGAGCCATGTCTCTACGATGCATTTTGCTGTTTTATACAACTAAGACTGTCGATAACCTTAAAACGAAGGATTGGCGCACTGGTGAAGTTTTTCACAGCAAACAGTGAATCAAAATTTCATCTTTGTTGCCACTGTAGTAGTTCACAGGAAACAGTCAAAGGAAAATGAACCGTTCACCTAAATAAGCCTATATAATAAAAAGAAACATGAACGAAACTGAATTCCTGAAAAGATATATCCATTCTTAGAAAAAATTGCCACGCCTTTGTGGAATGCACAGCACTGTCACAGTGAAAGCTGGAAAAGCACTTTTTCAGAGCCTTTTTTTGACACTTTTTAGGTAAATGCTGCAAGTACACTCACAGGGTACCCAACACGCCATTAATAATTGTATACTAGGCAGGCATTCACAATGCCATCCTTCGTCATTCTTCGAGACAAGTGGTACTACCCGCTGCACACCTGCAAAAAAGTTTGTGCAATTTTTTCGTGCTGTAGCTGGCGACGGTGAAAAATTGTGCCAGAAGCTTTTGTAATCCCAACAAGGGGTATGCGCTATAGTTAATAAGTAAACAAGATGAAGCATTTGTAAACAGTCGAAGCATTCGACGACCCACTTGTAGCACAATTTGCATTATGTGACACCTGGTCGTTCCTTTGCTGCTCTTTGTGCACTGCCTGTTGAGCGGCTGTTTAGACTGGCCAAGATGGGTCTGTCGTCCACAATGTGTATCAGCTTCCACAGATATGTCCCTTTAGATAGGGCAGTTGCATCAGCATAACATTATTTGCAACTGAAAATTTTATTTCGAAGTGGCCACTAATAAATACATCACACGTATGTATGTCATATACATAATATATTTATTAGTGTTCGCTTCGTAATAAAATTTTCAGTTGCTAGTAAGTGCTTGTCTGTGTCCTCTCCGAGTGTGTGTATATTTAGCGCTTGTTTCATCATGAACCTTTATCAACACGCCCAACTGGCAGTCATCCTGAACATTCTCTGGAAGCGCATCAAGTGCTACACAACATAGTCGTGCGTGGGCAGGTGCACATTTCACCTGTAATTTGAGAAAGATCGGATCAGGCCTCTTCAAGGAGAGTCTTGACTGGTTAAGGTTCTTGGATCAGCCGATAGAATCTTTTAGTCCCCCGTGGGAGCATGCACTGTGCATGTCAGAGTTCTACTATATGTCCGACGAAATGAACGAGCCATTATTTACCAGGTCACTAACAAGACAAATAATAAGTGACCCTTACATGATGTCACAGAGGTAAAATGTGTAATTAATAAAATTAGCAAATTCTCCTATGTGGACTAGAAAACACAAACAACATTTAAAAAATGCAAACACTTTTTCACAATGCTGGGAGGAGGAATAATAGCCCCTCGTTTCACTGTCAAACATAATGAACGCTACATCAGGCATGCAGAGGTACAGAGAGGTCAACAAAGAGTGCAGACATGAAGTGACCACAAATGTTCACTTGCAGAGCATCCGAAACCACCACAGATTACTTGTGAAGTAGGCCGAGTGTAATGGCACCACAGCTCAAGAAATGGGACAGTGGAAGAGTGCTGACACTAATGGGGTACTGACACCTTTTTTTGTCTGAGGCGAACTTACTCTGCCATACCATTCTCCTATATAAAAAGAGGACTCTGAGCAAGTTCGATGCACAGCAAATGTTTATAAGATATTTTATTTTGATGTTAAAGTCACATTTCTCACAGCGCACCTACTGAGATAAATACTAACTTGTCGTCAGGCTACAGTAGTAATCCTGGTGACTTCACCCAGCATTCCGGCAAGTTGTTATGACATCAAGCACCAAAACAAAAAATAAAAACTTGCGTGCTGCCCTTTCGATCGTCTTTTCGTGCCTTTACGTTGTGCGGTGACTGTCATCCAACATACCTGTGACATGAGCTAGCGAAGTCTGAAATAGCGTGCGTGCACACAAATACAAGATTATGCTTTTCAAAAGGCAAATGAATCGTTTGATTTTGATTTGGTCGTCATAGCACCAATATTTTGCCCCGTGTATGGTCTTGCGCCAGTGAACCGGGGTACAACAGTGAGCGTTAAATTTAGCTTGTACGTATACTTCAGCGATGACCGGCGATTCGTGCTTAATACGTTATCGTATTTAATCTTTCATTTTAAATGTTTGACGAAAACGATCTCTTCACATGCTTGAATACTTTAGTCATCATCATCATTAAGCCCGCCAAAATAGAATGCGGAACTTCAAGGCACCCAAAAATACCATTATTATTATTATTATTACTATTATTATTATACCTTGAAGAGTAATCGCAAGGCTCCTCTGAAAACTGAGCAGATTCAAGGTCACACGCATTCTCAGCACTGCCTTAGAACACTCGTATGCGAGGCCTTAGAACAAGAAAAAAAAAATTATGACATAGAGTAAATGAACCAAACCATAAATACAATGATTCCTAAAATGCAGCTGCAGTTATGTTAAAGCACTAGGACAAGAAGTAAGCAAACTCTCCCAAATCCCACAAAAAAATGAAAAAAAGAAACAACAAGCTACAAAAGCTACCCACTTAAGATCTAAAGCTGAATTAACTGAGCTAAAAGGGCTGATTAACAAAAAAAAAATGCCGACTTGGGGATTTATAGCACCAAAGAATTAGATGAAGAATTCAAAGAGAGGACAAATCCTGACAACAGAAAACTAATTACGAATGCACACTCCAACAGATAGAGTAACATAATCAGCAGTCTCAACATCTATAATAAGGTGACAGAAGACTTTTACTACAGCTAACGAATAAGCCACGTAACAGAGAAAGAAGCCAAAGTTCAACAAAACACTTAAACTCCATGAGTAAATATAAACAAAGTTAGAGAGAAACATAATATAAGAAGCCTAACCAGGAAAGAATCTTCTTGGATACCCTGGCCTGAGAGAATGGAATAGAGCCCTACAAAACATGACCAACAAAAATCATGCAGCGATATTGTTGACCTGATTAAAGATGGAGATGTCGTGTTTAACAAGCTTGTGACACTTTCTGCACAATGCCTCACGTACTGGCGAATCAAATGTACAACCAAACTGTAAAAAAGCCAATACCAAACAAATACAGAAAAAAAAGAGATGAAAGATTTAAAGAATTATACACAGATAAACAGATGTCGCACTGTGGATCATAGTCATGCGCGGTCAAACTGAAAAATCTGCGAAATGGAACACATCCATTCATTTACTTATCTTGCAGAGACTAATAAAAGGCATTCGACTCGGTAGAGATACCAGCAGTCTTATAGTAGCTAGTGCATAATGCATGCATGAATACCCTGGCCAACATTTAGAGAGAGTCCAGAGCAGACAGACAGACAGACAGACAGACAGACAGACAATGAACTTTATTAAAGTCTTGAGGGGCGACTAGAAAAGTCCCTTTAAGGGGGAGGAGCTGTCGCAGAGCAGAAAAATTTTATTCCTGAAGTGTATCTGGCACGGAGACGAAATTTGAGCAATATTTACAGCATGCTTAGCAGAAGGATTTGAGCCACCATGTTGATAAGAAATGCGAATAAACATTTACAAAGAATATCTCGGTACTTACCCTTTGCAAATGACATTTTGCTTTTCAGCAGTGGTGTCGTTTAACTACAATGAAATGAGG